AGGTTGACTTTACAAACGAATCGTTTTTTGGTCCACAACTTTCTATAACCCATCGATTTTAATTAAGTTTGAATGCCAATTGATAGTAGGGATTCATACGAAGTTAAAAAGGTATAATATTTCAAAATCAGACAATTTTTACCCGAGATATTCACAAAAAATCATCAAAAAAGTTTTGATTTTCGAAGCGACCCTAAAATTTCCAAATCTGAAGCTATTTGGCCGAGATATGATAAAAAATCATAAAAAAAAGGTTGACTTTACAAACGAATCGTTTTTTGGTCCACAACTTTCTATAACCCATCGATTTTAATTAAGTTTGAATGCCAATTGATAGTAGGGATTCATACGAATTTAAAAAGGTATAATATTTCAAAATCAGACAATTTTTACCCGAGATATTCACAAAAAATTATCAAAAAAGTTTTGATTTTCGAAGCGACCCTGATTTTGGGAAAAAACGTGATGTAACCCCTTGCTTTTTTGTCGATTTGGGCCAAAATTTAGATTTGAATTCTTTTGATGCCAATCGATAGTACTGATCCTTACGAGTCCAAAATGGTATAAAATATCCAAATCTGAAGCTATTTGGCCGAGATATGATAAAAAATCATAAAAAAAAGGTTGACTTTACAAACGAATCGTTTTTTGGTCCACAACTTTCTATAACCCATCGATTTTAATTAAGTTTGAATGCCAATTGATAGTAGGGATTCATACGAATTTAAAAAGGTATAATATTTCAAAATCAGACAATTTTTACCCGAGATATTCACAAAAAATCATCAAAAAAGTTTTGATTTTCGAAGCGACCCTAAAATTTCCAAATCTGAAGCTATTTGGCCGAGATATGATAAAAAATCATAAAAAAAAGGTTGACTTTACAAACGAATCGTTTTTTGGTCCACAACTTTCTATAACCCATCGATTTTAATTAAGTTTGAATGCCAATTGATAGTAGGGATTCATACGAAGTTAAAAAGGTATAATATTTCAAAATCAGACAATTTTTACCCGAGATATTCACAAAAAATCATCAAAAAAGTTTTGATTTTCGAAGCGACCCTAAAATTTCCAAATCTGAAGCTATTTGGCCGAGATATGATAAAAAATCATAAAAAAAAGGTTGACTTTACAAACGAATCGTTTTTTGGTCCACAACTTTCTATAACCCATCGATTTTAATTAAGTTTGAATGCCAATTGATAGTAGGGATTCATACGAATTTAAAAAGGTATAATATTTCAAAATCAGACAATTTTTACCCGAGATATTCACAAAAAATTATCAAAAAAGTTTTGATTTTCGAAGCGACCCTGATTTTGGGAAAAAACGTGATGTAACCCCTTGCTTTTTTGTCGATTTGGGCCAAAATTTAGATTTGAATTCTTTTGATGCCAATCGATAGTACTGATCCTTACGAGTCCAAAATGGTATAAAATATCCAAATCTGAAGCTATTTGGCCGAGATATGATAAAAAATCATAAAAAAAAGGTTGACTTTACAAACGAATCGTTTTTTGGTCCACAACTTTCTATAACCCATCGATTTTAATTAAGTTTGAATGCCAATTGATAGTAGGGATTCATACGAATTTAAAAAGGTATAATATTTCAAAATCAGACAATTTTTACCCGAGATATTCACAAAAAATCATCAAAAAAGTTTTGATTTTCGAAGCGACCCTGATTTTGGGAAAAAACGTGATGTAACCCCTTGCTTTTTTATCGATTTGGGCCAAAATTTAGATTTGAATTCTTTTGATGCCAATCGATAGTACTGATCCTTACGAGTCCAAAATGGTATAAAATTTCCAAATCTGAAGCTTTTTGGCCGAGATATGACAAAAATTCATAAAAAAAAAGGTTGACTTTACAAACGAATCGTTTTTTGGTCCACAACTTTCTATAACCCATCGATTTTAATTAAGTTTGAAAGCCAATTGATAGTAGGGATTCATACGAATTTAAAAAGGTATAATATTTCAAAATCAGACAATTTTTACCCGAGATATTCACAAAAAATCATCAAAAAAGTTTTGATTTTCGAAGCGACCCTGATTTTGGGAAAAAACGTGATGTAACCCCTTGCTTTTTTGTCGATTTGGGCCAAAATTTAGATTTGAATTCTTTTGATGCCAATCGATAGTACTGATCCTTACGAGTCCAAAATGGTATAAAATTTCCAAATCTGAAGCTATTTGGCCGAGATATGACAAAAAATCATAAAAAAAAGGTTGACTTTACAAACGAATCGTTTTTTGGTCCACAACTTTCTATAACCCATCGATTTTAATTAAGTTTGAATGCCAATTGATAGTAGGGATTCATACGAATTTAAAAAGGTATAATATTTCAAAATCAGACAGTTTTTACCCGAGATATTCACAAAAAATCATCAAAAAAGTTTTGATTTTAGAAGCGACCCTGATTTTGGGAAAAAACGTGATGTAACCCCTTGCTTTTTTGTCGATTTGGGCCAAAATTTAGATTTGAATTCTTTTGATGCCAATCGATAGTACTGATCCTTAGGAGTCCAAAATGGTATAAAATTTCCAAATCTGAAGCTATTTGGCCGAGATATGACAAAAAATCATAAAAAAAAGGTTGACTTTACAAACGAATCGTTTTTTGGTCCACAACTTTCTATAACCCATCGATTTTAATTAAGTTTGAATGCCAATTGATAGTAGGGATTCATACGAATTTAAAAAGGTATAATATTTCAAAATCAGACAATTTTTACCCGAGATATTCACAAAAAATCATCAAAAAAGATTTGATTTTCGAAGCGACCTTGATTTTGGGAAAAAATGTGATGTTACCCCTTGCTTTTTTGTCGATTTGGGCCAAAATTTAGATTTGAATTCTTTTGATGCCAATCGATAGTACTGATCCTTACGAGTCCAAAATGGTATAAAATTTCCAAATCTGAAGCTTTTTGGCCGAGATATGACAAAAATTCATAAAAAAAAGGTTGACTTTACAAACGAATCGTTTTTTGGTCCACAACTTTCTATAACCCATCGATTTTAATTAAGTTTGAATGCCAATTGATAGTAGGGATTCATACGAATTTAAAAAGGTATAATATTTCAAAATCAGACAATTTTTACCCGAGATATTCACAAAAAATCATCAAAAAAGTTTTGATTTTCGAAGCGACCCTGATTTTGGGAAAAAACGTGATGTAACCCCTTGCTTTTTTATCGATTTGGGCCAAAATTTAGATTTGAATTCTTTTGATGCCAATCGATAGTACTGATCCTTACGAGTCCAAAATGGTATAAAATTTCCAAATCTGAAGCTTTTTGGCCGAGATATGACAAAAATTCATAAAAAAAAGGTTGACTTTACAAACGAATCGTTTTTTGGTCCACAACTTTCTATAACCCATCGATTTTAATTAAGTTTGAAAGCCAATTGATAGTAGGGATTCATACGAATTTAAAAAGGTATAATATTTCAAAATCAGACAATTTTTACCCGAGATATTCACAAAAAATCATCAAAAAAGTTTTGATTTTCGAAGCGACCCTGATTTTGGGAAAAAACGTGATGTAACCCCTTGCTTTTTTGTCGATTTGGGCCAAAATTTAGATTTGAATTCTTTTGATGCCAATCGATAGTACTGATCCTTACGAGTCCAAAATGGTATAAAATTTCCAAATCTGAAGCTATTTGGTCGAGATATGACAAAAAATCATAAAAATAAGGTTGACTTTACAAACGAATCGTTTTTTGGTCCACAACTTTCTATAACCCATCGATTTTAATTAAGTTTGAATGCCAATTGATAGTAGGGATTCATACGAATTTAAAAAGGTATAATATTTCAAAATCAGACAATTTTTACCCGAGATATTCACAAAAAATCATCAAAAAAGTTTTGATTTTCGAAGCGACCCTGATTTTGGGAAAAAACGTGATGTAACCCCTTGCTTTTTTGTCGATTTGGGCCACAATTTAGATTTGAATTCTTTTGATGCCAATCGATAGTACTGATCCTTACGAGTCCAAAATGGTATAAAATTTCCAAATCTGAAGCTATTTGGCCGAGATATGACAAAAAATCATAAAAAAAGGTTGACTTTACAAACGAATCGTTTTTTGGTCCACAACTTTCTATAACACATCGATTTTTAAAGTGTTTGAATGTCAATTGATAGTAGGGATTCATACGAATTTAAAAAGGTATAACATATCAAAATCAGACAATATTTACCCGAGATACCCAATCAAAATCATGACCAAACCGTTTTTCGTCAAATATTCTGATGTAAACATTCGATTGCTGATTTGATTGATGGCAATCACCATCTAATTACATCAAAATATTTGACAAAAAACAGTTTGGTCATGATTCTTTCTTTATTATATTTTTAATATCTCTGGTAAATAACTGTAGGCGAAACTCTCTGTTGGCTCTAAGGTCTCAGCTGTCATTTATGGCTAACGCACGTGTAAATACTTAACACCATTTTCAGTTGCGATTGCTTTGCTTTCTTTGGGTGATTGTTTTTTTTTTTTTGTAATTTGACTGCTTTCATTTTGCTTTCTGCGACAATGGTCCGTAATCGTTTTAGGTGTTGAAATTATGCGAGTAATTAAAGTTACAGAAATGGCACAAAAATGAGCCAACGAGCCAACGACTGAGAGATTGAGGATAGCAGATTAAGATCTAATAATTGGGCCGAGCACTCAATTTAAATACTCGAACGTCCCGATTTGGTCTTGTCAAATGAGTGCGAATGGCAGCCGCAACTCAGAGCTTGCCCCATTCCCATGCAACAATGTTGCAGAACATTTTTGAATACATCAGCGAATAAAGACGACGACGAATATTTTGTTGTTACAATCATGTACCCTTTACCAATGGCCAAATGGGGTATACTGCAATTTCACCTTTCTTTGCGTTTGTCATGATCCGGAATACTCCCATTATTTATATTACATTCTAGCCTTTAACAATGTCTAATTTGAGTATAGCAATATTTTACCTTTTTTCCGATTCGCATGAGTTCACGAGCTGATATGTCCTTGACTTTCCATTGGCAATATATTTCTTATTATTCGATTGACAAATAATCTGAAAAAAAAAACAAATTTCATCAAAGTTTTATAGGTTTTCTCTCTTCATCTTCCCCTTTCTCCTCCCTTCCACTCTCATCTGAATTATTATTTCTCTAGTCCGTACTTATCACTCTTTCCTAGTCCCCCTCTCTTTGTATCTGGCTCTTCAACCGTCACTCCCATTGTTTCTCTCTAGCTTTTAAATTTCGCCTTTCTATGCGAATCTCATGAAATCAAAAATTGATATTTTATTTAATTGATGCTTATAGATTAGAAGGGCATTGTTTGACTCACGACTTGGGCACAGGGTAGTTTCAAGTCCAGCACTTTCGACTACAACTCTTTCGTTGTTTTTTCTTGTTGTTGTTGCTTGTTCGTTTTGATGGTTCGAACCGCGCACAGTCAACGATTGGCGATGCCGCGATCCACCAATACCGATCTCTTTGCGGGTCACAGCAAAGAGGCAAAGCTGTTCGCCGTTTGTTGTTGTCATTGTTGTTGCCGCGGATCCATTAAGCCAAATGATGTGCAGCCTTCCGTAAGGAGCCTTGTGCAACAAAGTTGCAAATCGGAGACGTCGCGACGTCGGCGCAGCATCGCAACGTGGGGGCAGCTGCGGGAGTCGTCGCGTATGCAATGCATTAATGAAGTGATTTGCACTTTTTTTCTTTCATCTAGAGATCCTTTTGACCACCAACAGCAAGAACCGACAGCCAAGCGTAAGCCACCAAGCGATTCCGGGAACAATCCCATCAAGTGCCAGCCAAGGTAGGTGAGATTTATGACAGCCGTTGTGGATCATGTCAATGTCAGTTCCAACAACAACAACAATAACACTCGGTTGACTCTCATAAGATCGTCGAGTGTATGGATTGCCGAGTCCCGGCTGCGGAGAGTACCCTAGCTAATTGAACTGATCGCGAGGCGTTTCGAACTGATCTTGATGAGCAATTTACTGTTACTTTTGTAAATCATCTGCAAAAGACAGAACAATTTTCGGTTAAAACATTGCCAAAACTGGCTAAATTTAAAGCACAAAATGATCTGAGGTAACAAAGTGATCTTCTTCAAAATATCAAAACAAGAGCAAGTTGATTGTCGCTGAATTTCATATAAGTTTATACTTATTATATAGCTATATCATTCGAATTCTGATCATTAAGTAGAACTCCAACAGTTAAGGAATATATATTCATATATAGTAACATATATATAAAATTAACCGTCGTTCTATTGACAAGCTGATCATAATATAGAATTGCCACGATCAATAAAATAATGTAAATACTTATAATATAATAATAATATATATAATAATACTCTTCGCATATATGATAACAATTGAATTTGCAGTTTGAGCCTTGTAAATTTCTGATAAAAATATACATATATTCAAGAAAATATACTTATTCAAGAATCAAATAAATTAGGAATGGAAAACATGATCTCACTCTTTTAAGTATATTTAATTTCAAATATATGTTTAATTTTTTTTGTATTTCTTTCGATAGTGTTTACTTTATTGACATACTGAATGACTTTATATTGAATAAAATATACTTACATATATAATATAATATTATATAATTTTTGCATACCTGACTGAGTCTGATTGACTGACTGTAGATCAGGATCATGTTAGAAATATATGTATATACATACATAATAATATCACATGTCTTCAGACAAGATGATCATAACGCAGAATACTAACGATCATCTTCAGACAAGATGATCATAGCGTAGAATTCTAACGATCAAAGAAAATATATACACATATACAATAATTGTATTAAATATTATTCGCTTATCTGACTCAGGCTGAATTTGATGATCATTGTATGATCAGCATGATCTACATGCTCTATGGAGATTTGATAGTAAACTTTTGACAAGCGGATCATAACGTAGAATTTGACATACGCAACAATAAAATGAAATACTCTTCGCATATCTGGCTAAAGCTAAATTTACAGATCATGATCACGTTCAATGATAAAATCTTGACCGCTGGAAAAAAGCAGATCTATTCACTTAATTGTCTTGAGTGTACACACTTACATTTATCTGTGTTTTATCTGGCAAACGATCGTGATCTATTGATCTGAGATAATGCATTGTTCTGCTTCAGCTTCTGCTTCTGGCACACGAACTCACGGCTGCCGGATCCTGTCATCACCAACCAACCGAAACCACATTTTGCGCATAATTCACATTCACATTTTCATTTTGCAATGCCCGCTTCCTAATGCCCAACCGCCCCTTTCCCCTCTCCCGCTGTCTGGGCAAAAAGTGGACATTGACCGTCTGCAAGGCGAGTCAATGATCTTCAAACGTGTCAACATTAAAAATAGCAACCAAATGCGCCCAAGCCCCATTCTCAGTCGCATCCCCATGCCCCATGCCCCATGCCCCCCACTCCATAGTCCCAGCCGCAGTCGCAGTCGCAGTCTGTGCCCCAGCCAGTCAGATATGTAGACGTGCAGACGTTTGCGAAATGCCAAACTGAAGAGACCAAAGACACAATCGCGGCAACAACAACAACAACAACAACAACAACAGGCACAGACATAGCAACAACAACAACAACAAAAGGAACAACAACAACAACAGGATGTTTGGCGGCGCTATCAACGAAATTCCAGCATTTGATCGCGCCAAGAGCCGAGCGAGGATCGCAGACAAAATGCAAAGAATCAAAATTATACACACACACACACTCGCACACACACATGTTGTGCACAAACGGACAAAGCCATTAATTACTGATTGCCGATACTCTCGACGCTCAATGAATTTTGCAGACACAAGCGCAGGGGTGGATGGGGCAGGGGGGGGGGGGGGGGGGGGGGGGGGGGGAAGGGGCGTTGCAGGCGGCAAGTGGAAGTGGCAGCAGAGTTGTCTTTGACGATGGCGCTAAGCGAAGCAGAAAGCCGCAAGTCTCCAACTGCAAATACAACAAGCAAATACACATAAATCAGGCCAGTGCTGACCCCCCCTCCCCACTCTCACACACACACACACACACACACACACACACACACACGAGCACACATGCATATCGCACTGACCGTTATGACTTCCGCTCGAGATGAGCTCAGCGCGCAGCTTCTCTCGAATAAGTCAACGATCTTCAGATCTTCAGGCGCAAATTCGAGGCTCTGTTTTGTGCACTTTTCAATAAATACTTTCGAGCACAATACACTCTGCGAAATTTATGGGTATTTTGTGCTCAAATGTTGAAGCTTTATTATTGATTGAGCCACAAATTTAATTCTTGTCTCAAAACCTTTACGCTTACTCTTAAAGCTAAAAGTACAAAGACTAGAAATATATGGAACTGATTTAAAGCGATATTATGATTATCTTAATATTATTTTGTCTTATTTGAAGTTTGATAGTTCTTTTGACAAGAAACCCAGATTTATCTTTGTCAAAAATGCAGTCGAGCTCAAAAATTCATAATCTGCAACTGTGAAAATTGTTGTGCTTAAACCAAGTAACTCGAGCTGAAAACAAAGTTCTTATTCTAAGAACTCTTTCGTTTAACCAAGAACTTTTGAACCTCATTTGAGAATGTCTTTTGCTTATTTAGAATAGAGTAAATACTTATACCAAATCTTTTCCATTTGTTTCTAACAAAATTGTTTTATTTTAAAATCAAAGTAAATTCGGAACGAATAATGCTTGAAATTCAAAAATCAAAACAGATTGAGTCCAATCCCGATCGTATTAGAATTAAGAACAGTTTTTTTGTTTTCTCAGTGTACAGCGCAATGCTTTACAGAGACACACACACACACACACCTACACTCACACACACACACACACGCACATGCAGAAAGTTGCCGGGCGTATTCAATATGCGGCATTGTCCTTGAGCGTTTAGTCGAAATTTATGAAATACATTGAACTCCGGCCACTAAATTAGTCAGTTAAGGCAACAAAACAGAACCGAACCACAAAACAACAACAAATCCCCAAAAAAAGAATAAACAAATTTGAGCAAAAAAAAAAAAAAAAAGAAGAGAAGAATCAACAAGAAGAACAACAAAAATATGAAAAACATGACAAAAGTTTTGCCGCGCGTCGCATTAACAAAAATTTCAGCGTGTTGCATGTTTTTTCTTTGATTTGAGTGTGCGCGTGTGTGTCAGTGTGTGTGTATCTTTTATAGAGTACAAATCAAGTCGTTGACCGCCAATTCCAATTCAAACTTCTAAATGCAACGGTCATCAGCCTCTGACAGGGGCATCTCATGGGAACAGCGCACAATTCAGATCAAAACTTGGGGCCTTGAACAATTCCATATAGAACTTACGTAACGCTCTTTGAGCTAACTTATTGCTTGAATTATAATATATAACATTTGTGGGCTTGTCTTTGAACTATAAACGAACTATTAGTTTAAAGGAAGATGCTGGTTCGAATCACCAAGGCTCTTCTAGTAGTCGAATATAAGGTGTAAGGTGTGCTGTGTACTCCGAATTCAAAGATCAAGTCAAAAGTATGCCCTATTCTATTTCATATTTAATATAACAGTTAATTTTTTGAACAGTTTGAAAGAGAACATTATCAAATTCGAAAATCAAATTGCCTTTTGCTCGCTTTGTTCAGTCATAGAAGAGTTCTTTCGTTCCAAAGATCCTGTAGATCCGTCTACAATTAATTTGTATGTCCTCGATCTATTATATCTTAAATAATGTTTGAATTCAAATATCAGGTTTGATATCTCAAGTTCATAAGCCTTCCAGCAACTCGAAGAAAACCCCCTTAAATGGGCTACTATATAGATAGTTTTTATATCTTAAGGTGTTAAGCCTCTTATATAAATATATTGCAAAACAATCTGCTGTCTGTTTTCACATGTGTGTCTGATTGTGTGTGTGTCTCAAATATGTTATGCCTGTTATCCACATCAAATCCCGCATTGGCATTCTGCTTTTGGCCTACACTCAGAGTTCAGTTTCAGTTTCCGTTTCAGTTCTAACCTGTCCCTTGTCGGCCATTGGATTCTATGGCAATAAAAGTATCATCAAAGCTAATGCGCCGGTTTATAAGCTCCCAACGTTGCAGTTTTGTATTGGCCACCTGGGCGTGCCCTGGTAGAAGGAGTAATAAGAATAATAAAAAACAAAAAAAAAAAAGGATAGTCCGTTGCTGGAGCTAAGCGGCTGGTAAACTTCGTCCTGGCC